TTCTGCCTGAAGTAGGCTTTTTTTTTTGAAGACTAAGATTAGTTGTACAATGGTGAACCTTGAGGATGAATGGATAAAACAGATTTTTAAAACGTTTCACTTGCTGATCAAAATAACAAGAAATTAATATGGTTTAGGAACTTGGGATACTTTGCCATCATTGGTATTTCGGAAACATTCTGGATGCTGCCAAGCTGCCAGGGAGCAGTATATTAGGAATGGATGCTGCCAAAGAAAACATATTGAAAATATGCATCCAGTCAAGAACATCTCCAATACCTACACCTTACATGATGGTAAACAAGCTCCCAATTTTCAATTGATCTTTACTTTCTGATATTCAATTTAACTTTTCTTAACAGGAATTTATGACCTTGTGAAAGACTAAAACAAATACAGTTGGAATACAGTTCCTTGAGTGGAGTCCTGTAGCTCAGTAGTAAGAGCAATCGCTTTGCAAGTGAGAGACCCGAGTTCAATTCCAGACAGGGCGAAACCTTGGGCAAGTTTCCTTACTCCACACGCCTAATAATAATCCCTCCAAAAAACAAAACAATAATAAATTGGTCAAATTGGTTCAATCTACGACTGTTTGTGGGGCACTGCTGTGCGCAATTGGCTGCCGCATTCGCCCACAAATATACAGTCAATTCACTTTACAGTATATTCTGTGAAACGCTTTGGGACTTCTAGAAGACGTGAAAAGTGCTATGTCAAAAAAAATGCAAGGAAGGATTGAAGAGTGTTGGAATAGTTAAAGAAGTATTTTCATTAACGTCAGACATGGTGATCTGAAAGGATAACACACAATGCCCAGTAACTGTGTCTCTTCTGTAAATCTACTCTACTGATATACAAAACCAGATTAGCAAATCCTTTTACTGATTATAGGCATTGGACTCAACATTACTTCCAAGAACCAAATCAGACTATGAATATTGGAACTTTGCAGTATAGGCACCCTCATTTAATCATTTGCACTGTACTAAGGAAACCCAATGTCATGCTCCAATAAATGCAACCTTCCTGCTTACATTGCTTAAATGCTCTGAAACATTTAAAATTATGGCTCAGATCCACACAGAATATTCCTTCAGTTACAAAATCTGTCCAAATAAAAAAGATCAGACAATAATTACAGTAACAATTCCCCAGCCTTTGTTTAAATCTAATTTAATTTCAGTATCCAGCAGTTAAACTCAAAGTCTGCTTCCATTTCCAACTTGAATCAGTATGACTTGCCGAGAAATAATGCAAAGATTGCCCCCAATGCCTCTTTTAAAATTAAGTAATAAGTATGAGCTACAATATCCTGGCTCAAATGTTCTTGCGCTAAAATAAATAATTATTTTATTAGATCATAAAATTTCCTCATGCCTAGCAGTCATTGTTACTCGTTGTATTGTACAAAAGAAATTGCGTAACATTTGAGGGGCAGAAATTGAGAGAATGATTTTACACTTAAATATCGGTAAGGTTTCAACAAATCGGGCAACTAGTCTACTGGGTGAAGTGCTTCAAGACGTCCTGTCAGGAAATGACAAGGGGCTATATAAACTATGTCTTTTTGTAGGTTTTCAACAAACTCTTGCCACAAAATAGCACCACCAACAATTCAACAATATTCTAGTTCCTGTATATTGACAGGACACCAGTCTTGTACAAATATCATCATAGCAATAAAGTAGATCTCAAAAATCATCTGGTTGTTGTTTTTCATATTGTGAGACTGATGCTAAAAATAGTTTTATTAGGAAATTGATTTTTTCTAAAACTTGTGAAGAAAATAGCATATTGGTATAGCAGAAATTCAGTGTTTGATCAACTTGGGACTCAAAAGCCAGCATAAATATACATTTGAGCTATCTACACACTGGCCAGCCTCTGTTCCCTTATTTTGGCAGATAGTAATAATCCCTCCAAAACCAAAAATAATAATAAATTGGTCATTTTCAATCTACGACTGTTTGTGGGACATTGCTGTGCGCAATTGGCTGCCGCATTCGCCCACAAATATCGTCAATTCACTTTACAGTGTGTTCTGTGAAGCGCTTTGGGACGTCCTCCCGACGTGAAAAGTGCTATATCAAATGCAAGGATTATTATTATTTATAATTCAGTTATTCTCTCTGTTGAATGATCAATGAATACAAAGTATATTCCTTGATAGAGTACACTATCTTAGATCATATAAATACCATGGAAATGCTTATATGGTTGAATGCCTCTAAAAGAATTACTAATTCAGTTGTTTTACTAATTGAAAATAATAGCTTAACACTACTGCTTCAAAACATTTGCTTTGGGATGTCCTCCCAACATGAAAGGCGCTTTACAAATGTAATTGTTGTTGTTGTTATTGCAGCATTACTGGCATTAGACCAACTGCGATTTTCAAACTTTTTGCTCTTCCACTATTCAATCTGCACCAAATTGTTGAAACATTAACTAAAAGTTTATGTTGTGAGGCAGATCCTACAGCCCAGATGCCTCAAGCTAAATTACAGAACAGCTTCTTGAAATGTTTCTTTTGCTTTTAAATGGTTCTGTAAAACAACTTCAAGAATTGGTTGTGCAAAATACATGCAACATTAGAGATCCTAAACAGACAAAAGAAGTTCTGTTTGGAAGAAGGAAAACGCTGAAATATTCAATTAATGAAACTTCCATCAATTGATTTCATTAAGCAAAGATTTACTGGTTGAAAATGTATATACGTTTCAGTTGCAAATTAACATACAAAGCCTTTAAGTATTGTAGATTTCAAAATAGCTTACATCCTATAATGACCCTTGCAAGGATTGCATGTCACACTGAAACAAAAATAAAGAATTTAACTGACGTATGTATGTTCAATCAACTATAATGCCAATGTGTAAGTAATGTAAGAGAAACAGATGGGATGCATTCTGCTCAAATTGAAACAATGGGATGTTGGGAAGAGAGCCACTATTTATTTTTTACCTGGCACATTAATGAAGTTGAAATTGCAATATTTAATAAAAACTTTACTGGGAGCCCTAAACTCAAATGCAATTTCAAATTTGTCATCCATGTTCTAATCTCAGGATTTTACATGCTGCAGATACAGGAACATATTTATGTGCCTCTTTTCTTTTGAATAGATCTACTGTTATAACCAAACCCGTGATACTTCACTGTTAGTCCTGATCTGCAAATAGCAATGACTGAGAGCAATTTCTATGATAACGGCCATCTGTGCGGATACCAGTGATGTACAAAGATAACTGCTCAAGTTGATCACCATAGTTTAGGGACTCTAGCAGAAGACGTTTGATTGTGTGTATATTATAAGACTAACACAAGTGACAACCATAAAATTGAGAACAAAGTTCATGCAATTTATGGTTAGCTGGCTCCTAAGGTACAGCCAGACATTTAAAAAGCCATTTCAAATTTATGGAAGAGGAAGGACTAAAGTTAGGAGCCAACCTCAGCAAATATCACTGAAGACGATTTTAAAACCTCAAGATTATTATTCCCAATGCATGCAATCACAAATGGTCAAGGAACGCTTCATAATGCTTTGGGCAGTAAATCATAGTTACAGTATGATAGGGAGCTGAATCATCTTACTTCAGGACAAGTTAATGATAATAATGAGTTGGACCAAGTTGGGAAGCAAACAGAGCAGATTTGCAATGAGGTTTCGACAGAAGAAAGATCAGAAACTGATTAATGCTGGGAAATGTTTCAGAACGAGCCCAACCTCCAAAAGTGTGGAAGACATAATGAAACAAGAGCGCCACCTTCACTGACATTTGTTTGCTTCTCGAAAAAAAATACATGTACCTTGTTAAGGACTTCAATAAGATAGTATGGTTAAAAAGCTCTACTGCCCTGATGTAAAATTGTAAGCTCTGTGACATCCTTCAAAACTTTACCAACGTAGCAATGCAATAATCTGCATTTTCACTACCTTGTGCAACTGTCAGCCCATCTGTCATTTATTGCATCCTTTCTTTGCTTTTGTGACCCTTGAAACTGGCACTATAGGCAGTCATGTTGCACCTCATTTTCTATTAGGGAAAAGTGTTGGTGACTACAGTATTGACGAACACCATCACATGGTCTAAATGGCTATATAGGATTTCAGGAAAGGGCAGAAAGCATTTTGGCAAATGCGATTCGAACGGATCCAGTTGTGCACCGGATAACATCCAACAATCTCACATATTTTTTTTTTGGGGGGGGGACACAAAAAAAAAGCGCCCCAGGTGCCTTGAGAAACAAGAGGACAAACATTTGTTCCGAGTCTCCCGACCGGTGAGCCGTCAACTTTTGAGCGTTTTCAAAGCAAGAAAGTGAGGGGGTTCGTCAACTGGGGATTCAGTCGTGGCATTCGCAGTTCACATGAGCACGTAGTGTATGGGCCAACGTCTCCACCCCTCCCCTCTCTCTATTTACCCCCCCACCCCCCTTCCTTTCTCTAACTATCCCTTCCCTCCATTCCCCCTCCACATATATTACCCCCCACCCTGTCTTATCCCCCTTATTCCCTCTCTATCTCCCCCCACCACCTCCACCCCTCTCTCTGCCCACCCCCCCCCCCCTCCTCTCTGCCCACCTCCCTCGATCTCTCTCTATCTCTCTCTCTTTTTTGCCCCCCCAAGTATTCCCACTTTTCCCTCCCATCGACGTGGGACGGTTTGCTCGAGGTTCCCCCCCCCCCCCAAGCCGTTTTGCAGTGCGAAGAAGAAGAAGAGCACGATGGGGGGGGGGGGGGGGGGGGGGTTGTATGGCAACGATAGATATATATATATAAATAAAAATAAGTAAAATATATACACACATATATATATATACATATATAAAGAAAACCTGCCCACCATTCCAGAAAGGCCGAGGAGGAGGAGGGAGGGAGGGATGAGGAGGGGGTGCAGAGCAGGGGGTGGGGGTGGGGCCTTATCGTGTGGGGGGGGGGGGATGGGATGGGGGGGGTTACAGTCCCCCCCACTCCACGACAAATCTCTTCTTACCTCCTCCTCCCTCTCGTCCTTGAAGCACAAACAGGCCGCTCGCTTCTTGTAACCGTCTCCATCGTAAGTCCGGGTCTGGTTCTGCTTTATTTTCATCATTTAGAGAGAGGAGGAGAGAGGATTTTTTTTTGTTGGTGGTGGTGGTGGCGGCGGTTGTTGTTGTTGTCGTTGTAGGCGGTGGTGGTGGTGGCGGCGGCGCGTTGCAGAGAATGATCCTGTGAAGGGTGAGAGGAAGAGGAGGGAGGGAGGGAGGTGGTGGTGGTGGGGGGGGGGGTGAGGTGGGATGGGATGGAGTGGGGGGGGGGGGGGAGAGGGAAGGAGGGAGAGAGAGAGAGAGGGAAGAGAAGAGGGAGGGAGAGAGAGAAGAGTGGTGGAAGTGAGAAGAGAAAGGAGGAGGAGGAGGGGGTGGGGGTGGGGAGGGGGAAGGAGGGGTGGGGGGGAGACAGGGGGGAGGAGGGGGGAGAGAAGGAGCGAGAGAGAGAGAGAGAGAAGGAAGGATGGTAAGTGAGAGAGAGGGAGGGAGGAAGAGGAGGAAGAGGGAGAGAAAGGACCGGGGAAGGAAGGAAGGAAGAAAGAAGGTTTTTTTTTATGAGAAGCAAAAGAAAAAAAAAGGAACCACTTCACAGGGGAACCGACGAGTCTCTCTCCTCTCGTCCCCTCACACACTCCCTCCCTCCCTCCTTCCTTCGCTCCCTCCCTCCCTCCCTCCACTCGCCGCTCAGGAGACGGGGTGGGTGGGGGTGGGGGGGGTGAGTGGTGGGGGGGAGAGAGAGCACAGGATCGTGAGGAAGTTCGTCACGAAGCCTGAGCCGAGGGTGGGTGGGTTGAGGAGGGGAGGGGGGAGGGGAGGGGGGGAAGAGTCTTCTCTCTACCCGCTCTGTCTCCTCAGCCTCATATTCCCGCAGCCATCCTTTCCGACGCCATCTTAACGCCGCCTCCTCCTCCTCCCGCCTCGCGTCGCAACCTAACTCGCTCGGCACTGGGTAAAAGGGGGACGGACGGAGAGGGGCGTGGCTTCTGGGCCCCGCCCCGCCCGCCCGCCCACCTCCCCAACTCGCAGCCAATCGCCGGTAGTCTTCCATCCGGTCGTCGAGCGCTCCGCCAATCGGAGCCGGCGTATCAACTCTGGTTCCACCTCCGCCCCGCCCCCCGCCCAGCACGTTTGGTCGAGGAGGCAGCCCTTCAAGGCTCTGTAGTGAGCACTCGGCGCCAGTAGGGGGAGCACCAATCCCCCCCCCTCCCCCCCCACTCTGCTCTATATTTAATGGCAATAGTGCCAGACAAAGAGTTAAGGATCTGTGATTTTCACTGCATTGCCTTTGCAGTCTGTTCCTGCTTTTGCTTTTTTTTTTTTGGGGGGGGGGGGAGGGGTTGGGAATGAAAACTCTTTTTTTTTTCTCGCTTCTGCGCTGCACTTCCTTTATTTTTTTTTTGTCGGATTGACCTCAATTTACCTGAAGCGCTTTGAGACGCCGTATCGAATGCAAGGATTATTATTATTATTATTATTATTGCTATTATTGTTATTATGACATATTTATCACACCTGTCCTTTTCATTCGGATGCCATTCTCAGCGATTCGCTCATTTATGGCGGGGGGTGGGGTGGTGGGGGGGGGGGTGGGGTGGGGGGGCAACGAGGCGTCCCCCGAATAAACTGCTTAGACACTTTGAACTGCTTCACAGGATTGCACTGCGCGCAGCGTAACGACTGAATTTGCGGACATCCGATTTGCGCACGGCAACGTCTCACCCACAGCCATGGAGTGAATGACAAGTTGTATCTGGGGGAATTGTCAGCCAGGATCCTGGGGAAAGATGAACTTCTTTCTCTGTTCAAATGGTGCCTGGATACCAGAAAAAAAGAACCTTCTTTCTTTTTTTTCAAATAGTCCCGGGCAGTCTTTGACTTCTACCTGAACAGGCAGATGGGACCTGAGTTTAGCGTCTCATCCGAAGGACAATAACAACAACAACAACACCAAGATTCCATTTATACAGCGCCTTTCACGTCGGGAGGACGTCCCAAGGCGCTGGACGGTTGGGTCAGGACCCGAGCATTGGGGGGAAATGGTCAGGGTGAGGGGAGGGAAGGGAGGGAGCGAGGAAGGGGTAGAGAGTCGAGAGGGGAGCTGAAGGCACGGTCAAAGAGAAGGCAGCACCTGCAACAATGCAGCCCTTCCCCAGCATTGCACTGGAGTGTCAGCCTCGCTCGCAAACTCTATGACTGATAAATCATTGTACGTTGTGCATATTAGTGAACATATCCAAATAATGATGTCACAAAAATGGAAAGACTGGCGCTTGACAGCGCGATGCACGACGCTAAGCCGGGGGGAGGGGGAGGTGAACGTAGGCACTGTCCTGATAGGAAGGTCTTCAGGCCCGACCTGCAGATGGGGAAGGAAGGGGCAAGGCAGAGGGATACAGGAAGAGTGTTCCAGAGTTTCGGGGCATAGTGGCTGAAAGCGCGGCCCACCACTGGTGGAACAGAGGGCACGAGGGACATGCAGGAGGCCGGAGCCAGTCGAGCGGAGGTAGCAGGCTGTGGGTTGGGGGGTGAGTAGGTCGGAGAAGTAGGCAGGTGCCAGGGCATGAAGAAATTTGAAAACGAATGTGAGGATCTTGAAATGGATCTGTTCGGCGAAAGGGATGGAATTGGTGTAATGGAGGTACGGAGTTTAGTACGGGTGAGTATGCGGGCGATGGAATTTTGGATCAACTGGACCCTGCGCATGGTGGAGCTGGGGAGACTGGCAATACTAATCCTTGCATTTGATATAGCGCCTTTACGGTATATTCTGTGAAGCACTTTGAGATGTCTCGAAGACGTGATCAGGCTCCATGTCAAATGCAAGTATTATTATTATTAATGCACGCTTGAGAAGCCTCAGAGCGCTTCACAGAGCACACTGCAAGGTGACTTTGACTACATATTTACTGGGGCGAAACTACATGGCCAGTTCTTTTCATTTTATTTCGCGAAAGGAATGAAAACTGGAACCTCGACCACTGGAAAGTGAAACGGCAGATCATCCGATCACGTTGGACAGGAAAGGAAAGGGGACTTGGTGCTGTTTATTTTCGAAGCGCCCGCCTTCTTCTCCCATTGTTAGCAATGTTCCAGAACTGGAACCCGTTTTGCCAACCGGTAACTGGATTTTTGGCAAATTCCGACACCAACCGAAAGAGAACACCAGCCCGATTCAAATCGCTGGCTGCATCAGGCAACATGTTTCAGATTTTCCCCATTGTCTTTCATAACCTCAACAAACGGAAATATTTGCTGTCCAACGAGGAAGCCAGGTACTCTGAGATGCAAGAGTTGGCTCTGGAAAATTGGGAAGATTTGAGAATGCCGAGATCTGCCGCCGGAGACTCGCTCCCGTTAGTCGACACAGCGTTAAGTGGCAGGGAAGAAGCACTTTTTGAAGATCTGAAAAAACTGGAGGTGTTGCCCGAAAGAGCTTTCATGCCGAACGTACCTAACACACGGCCACCAAAGTCAAACACGCCACTGATGTTCGAGGCTAGGTTTCCTTCTCCTGAAAGAGTTGGCAAGGGGATAGAAGTCTTTGATTCACTTCAAAATCCAATATCTCCACCGAAAGATCTACAGATCAAGTCTGAATCCGTGGAAGACCCAATAGATACATGCTCCAGATGGCATGAGTACAGTCCTGGGAGAGAAAGCAAGTAAGTAGCTGGAAATGCAATATTTTTCTAAGAGGAAGGGTGGAGCACTTTATCCTTTCATTGTTAGTTCCTTTGAACCCAATTCTGATTGAATGAATGAAACTCTTTGGCAACTGTAAGGTTGACTTTGGACACGCTCCACTCAGATCACAGCCTCCAATGATCTACACAATTTACATTTAGATAACATCTTTCTTGTGAAATGAAAGTTTCAAAGCACTTTATAAAATCGATTACAAATAAAATGAATGTTTTTTGGGGGGGATAAGGGGGGAATATAATTGTGGAACAATGAGGAAGTTGTCTATCAATGTACACCTGATTCACAACATATGGATATCTCATTCACAGAAGCTCCAAGTTTAGTTAGTTTCATAAATGGTCAGATGAGGTGTGTGTGTGTGTGGGGGTGGGGGGGGGGGTGTTGAGGAGGTCGGGAGGTGGGTCAGGAAAGGTGTATTTGTGCGTATTTCACCCACAAATACACCGTCAATCCGCTTTGCAGGATACAGTATTCTGTGAAGCTCTTTGAGACTTGTCAACGACGTGATACGGTGCTATATCAAATGCAAGGATTATTATTAGTATTAATAATATAAATCCACAAGTTTAGGCTCTAGTACAATAACTATCAAAAAGGACAATGTCTAACACCAGAGGAACTCTAGTCGGTTGGATCAATGAAGTGATTCAATCCCTACTACTCTTGCATTGACTGAGTTTGGTACTGAAATTGGTTAGTGCCATTAGTAGGGTTAATTTGGTGGAATATAACATTAAATCCTGTACGCCAGGATACCATTACTGTCAATCAAAGCCAACCTTTAGTTGATATCCTTTTGCAAAATTCTTATCCTTCACCTGCTGTGACCCCATAATTGATGTATCTCCCATTTGACCCCAATGATTTATATGAGGCTTATTTTCTGCAACAATAAGCAGGAGATACTTTGGATTGAAAGAATGAAGAAGATTCTTAACTACAGTCTTTTGGCAGATTCCTGCTCAGATTCCTCTTAACAGAATCTATTTCCTGGAGAATCAGGAAAGGTTATATCTTTTTCTACCAGTGAGAATCACTCAATAATTCACACGTGTCACAAGTTCGCATTTTGTGTTGAGAGCACTGTTTCAGTATGCCAAAGGAAATGTTCTCTCAATAATAATATATGACTAGTTATACAGGATATAGAGATGAGGTAACCATGCTGTGTGGCAATTAAGGATACACTGTGAATTTATAGTATTCTCTGTTTTTACTGCAGATTTCCAGCATAATTCACTCACAATCACAGCATTCATATGGCTGAAATATATTTCCTATTGCATTGTTCTTTGTTGTACAATCCTTAAAGTGACATGAAGTGTTTTCTTTTTAAGGTGTAATATTTTCTCTGTGAAATCACAATCTTATCAGTCTTATCAGTTATAGCAAAAAAAAAGCTTTATTTGTGCTAACCAAATACTTTGAAGCCCTATATTCCCTATTTTATAACTTTCCATGTGAAATTGTTTATGACCCAATCCCAGGATTGGAGGAGGTGGGGGGTGGGTGGGGGGGGGGGGAGAAAAATTCTGTCATATTTTGTTTGAAGTAAAAAAACCACAGGCTATAAGGAAGCCCAAAGATCATTAAGAAGATGAACATCACCGACAGACATGCCTCACTGTACAAATAGACAGGATGCTTGACATCTCCCAACGCTTTTAGCCTTGAGACCTTTGTATTGAAATTTAAGATCTTGCAGAATTTTGGAAAATGCTTAAATTCAATCTCAGTTTGGAAGCTAGGACTTCAGTAGCATCTAACTAATAAAAATATGGAATACTGAATTGCTTCTTTCTTTTGAATATCTCGTTTTGATTAAAAATAAGATTGTTGTTCATTTCTCAAACACCTCTCAAGCCTCTCTGAAACCTATTCAGATACAAAAAAAGGTTTTGATCCTACTTTGACTTATTGTTTGAAAAAAAACTGCTCTAGGGAAACACTAAGTAACTAGCCTCACTTATTGTTTTAGTGATGAGATATCTTCTGTGTGCCTCCATTCTGACAAACATGCATTTGTTTTACTATCTACCAGAACCAGTTTGAAGGTCAAGACAAGCCCAAACTCTAAGCATGTGGAAGAACACAATATATCTGTCAATTCAGCTGAGTCCTTACTAGATTTCCATAATGCTAAGGATGAGAGTGAATCTCTGTTAAGAGGTATGAAACATTTGTCAAGGATGTGTTCTTTCATATTGTGTTTCGGCATTTTGTTCATTAATACATCTGCAGTTTTCTTTTAAAAAGAACAGTGAGAATGAAAAAAAACCAGCTGGAAAACAGAATCAGAATACTGGGGACAAGATATTAAAGTGCATCCACAATTAGTTTCTATGAAAATTCCTTCCATTTATTAATAATGATAATAATATTTGTGACCTGGAGGAATATTTTTCTGCTGACAATAATTGGGTGTTTTATTACTGCCAACAACAGTAACCTAATTTTTCCCATGTGCTTAAATTTACAATTTCAGCAGTCTTGCAATTTCCCTTACAGTATTTAATGATCATAATGGCTCTGATGTTAGGAAAGCTATTTGCAAGGGTGTGGAGAGGAACCAAGACAGACACAGAGCTAGTTCAGAATTAATATTGACTCAACATCATCATTTAACTCATCATTTTGTGTTGCCTCCTAGGCAAAGAAAGACCAGTATACAGTCTCATCTCCTCATGTTAGATAGATTCTGATCTTGGGCATTTGGAGGCATCATCCCAAGCATTTAACAATTGAATACTCTTTGTTTCTTGCACTCGCTTGTTAACATAAATAGCAGACTGGTTTGCTGCTTTATTTGTGCATATTATTATTAAAGCAAAGGTCAATATTCCTGTTCGACCACAATGTACATGTCAGTGCCTGTGTCAGTGTATAGCACGTTGCTAAGATAGCAGAACAAAAGAGGCCAGATTCAGGGTTGCAAAAAAGGAATTTCAGGACAGACATCAGGAAGTTTCTGATTGCCCAGAGAGCAATTAATGACTGGAACATATTGCCAGGAAGGGTGGTTGAGGCCAGGACACAGGACTTATTAAAACAAATCTTGATGTTTTGACGGGAAGGCGGTAGGGTGGATATTCTGGAAGGATGAGATCAAATGGGCCAAAGGACCTGCTTCATTCTCAACCAATCTTGTCGTTAGTCTATAACCTTTAACCAGCAGCAGGTCTAACATCTGAAAGGAACAAATCTCTGAACGATGTGTTTAAATGTTGCCCCGATCTACTATTTTAATCTACATCTCGTTCCACTCAATATTTTAAGGTGCACATAACGGTTGTTCTATTAAAGCATTCTGAGACCTCACTGTACCTATATAAATGCAAGTTGTTGTGTTTGGACTTTTAGATAAGCCAAAGGAGACCAGCATAAGAATGTCATTCTCTCCATGGACCAAGTTGCTGAATATGTACAGCAGAATGAAGAAGTCTCCTATTCCTAAAGTAGGTTTGCTGTTCTTTCATTGATGACTTTCAGTGTTGAAAACAATGTGCACCTGCCCCTTTTCAACCAATTATTCATAAGGTCATTTGTAGATCTTGTGCCTTAACCTTTAACCTTAGCAGCTTTGTAATCAGTGACAAAACAGCGGTGACATAAATAAGTGGGACGACTCGCACAAAGCAGTTATGATGCGCAGGAGTTATGGACCTTTGACACAAGTGGCAGATCACTTATTTGTTCCTAGTAAATGTTTTAAAACACAAAAACTGTTAATAGATTATTTTATATCTGCATGATTATACAAGCTATTTCATTGCAATTTGCTGTCTCACTAACTGCGTTAAGTACAAGCCTAAAGTGATCTCTTCTTTGAGCTCAAACCCATAGCTTGTGAATCCTGTACATAGAGCGCGGATACTTATAGAGATATAATACAAAAATACACGATTCTCTGCATTCCACGTAGCCCATTTGTTGAACTGGATTTAAAATCACAAATCATTTATGCCAAAATGGGATTTTTGATAATTTCACCTTTATTTATTTACTTTTGGCGAACAGCAAGCTTGTTGAAACCATCGCTCAGCGGGCAAGCCTTTGTGTTTGTTTACAAAGGAAGCAGTGACATAAACTGTATGAAACACCCATCCATGTCATGCAGAGAAGTCGTTGTGAACAGATAACTTCTCTGTGATGCTTCACAGTCTTTGTTCTGTCAGATGAGTACTCTCACTGTCTAGACAAGTGCTCATCACTTCAAGGAGGAGGTCTGACCATCAGTTCTGCTTTTATAAAATCACATTTTATGAACTGTTTAACTGTCCGTCTTTGTGGTTGCTCTGTGATTATTTTTTTTTGCTTCAGCGGATACTGATGAAATCATCAGGGGAAATAGCTTGGCAGATTTACTGCTTTTAATGGTGTGAGTCAACTGAATGAATATCAATGAAGCTGCAGAGGTTAATCCAGGCGGCTGAAGCAATCGTGTTATTTCAACTGTGTTGGAGTAATTGAGCCCGTCCACATTGTTGGGCTTCCAAGACGATTCCTGCATTGATGTCTTCAATGCAAATTCCATAAACAGCAGTCTTCAGTCGAATTAGTAGAGAAAATATAAATTGCTCCTTTGCGGAGTAATGTTACCTGAACATGTTACCTTAAAAAATACGACTGTGACAAAATGTAGGATAATTTATCTCTAATTCATATTTCCACTTGCAATTCAATCCGGCAGTGGTAGATCATGACACCACGACTAATAAACTGAGTAAAGCAATCATTAATGGGCGGATTTAAGTAACACGATAAACATTAGTATTTTCTGCATTAAAAAAAACTTTACTCTACAGGTCAGATTTAACAGTGACCTAAATACTGTATAATCATTGCGTCATATTTCTGGACTTTGGTATTGACACTTTATTGCATTATAAGCAGCGTTATTTCCTAGTATCTGATAAAAGCTCCCTTCACAGCTGCAGATAATGCAGTTACCATGTGTGAGGGCATTGAACAAGACAGAAACTGCACTGAGTTGAGGCTGTATTTTCTTTTTAATTTTGCTTTCCCAGGAGTCAAGGAGAGGCTAAAATCCCAGGCCAAAAAAATGTAACTTCAGAACTTGGTGACCTTGACCTGCCGTCTCTGGGCCAAACACTAAAATTATTTTTTTTCGCCTAGCAGAGCCCAGATTTTTACACAATTACGCAAAGAACATTATAGAGTCCATTGTAAGGTCTAAAGCATAGAAAGTAAGATTGCTGCCTTCAGCAGAGCAAATTGCCTACTTGCAGAGGGATTCCACCTGCTCGTGCTTCTCAAAACGCTCCTCAAATAAGAAAAGGAATGCATTTAGGAATACCACAGATTTTATCCCATAATACAGGAAGGGTTTCTTCTTGAAAAGATTCTGACATGCAATGGAAAGCTCGCAGGTGTTCCACTAGATGTCAATCATTTCCACAATGAAACTGCATCCCTTTGCCAATTGACATACCATACCATAACCATATATATATATTAATGATCTGGACTTGGGCATAGCGAGCACTATTTCCAAGTTTGCAGATGATACAAAGTTAGGTAGGGTAGTAAATAGTGAGGAGGACTGTAACCAACTGCAAGCAGACATACACAGAATGGTGGAATGGGCTGACATGTGGCAGATGGATTTCAATGTGGATAAGTGTGAGGTGATACACTAGGTAGGAAAAATGATAGGAGGCAATATAGACTTGGTAGCTCAATCTTAAGGGAAGTGAACGTACAGAGAGATCTGGGTGTTCAAGTAAGTGAATCATTAAAGGTAGCGGGGCAGGTAGATAAGGCAGTAAAAAAGGCATTTGGTGTACTGAGCTTTATTAGTAGGGGCATAGAGTATAAGAGTAGGGAGGTTATGGTTAATCTATACAAAACACTGGTTAGGCCTCAGCTGGAGTACTGTGTCCAGTTCTGGGCACCTTACTTCAGGAAGGACATTAAGGCACCGGAAAGGGTGCAGAGGAGATTCACGAGAATGATACCAGGAATGGGGAACCTTAGCTATGAGGACAGGCTGGAGAAGTTAGGACTTTTCCCATTAGAGCAGAGAAGGTTACGCGGGGACCTGATAGAGGTCTTCAAGATCAAGAAAGGTTTCGACAGGCGAGATAGGGAAAAGCTGTTTCCGCTGGTAGGTGTGTCTGTGACCCGTGGTCACAGTCTTAAGATATCTACCAAAAGAAGCAGAGGGGAGGTGAGAAGAAATGTTTTCACTCAGCGAGTTGTTCGAATTTGGAACGATCTGCCTGAAAAGGTAGTGAAGTCCGATTTGATAACAGCTTTTAAGGGAGAACTGGATAGGTATCTGGAGAAAACGGGTTTGCAGGGTTATGGGGAGAAAGCTGGTGATTGGGGTTAGTGAAAGTGACTTGCTCTGTCAAAGAGCCGCACAGACTCAATGGGCCGAATGGCCTCCTTCTGTGCCGTAACATTCTATGAATCTATGAATAACTATTACCGAAAGTCAATACCCTATATAATTCTTTCGAGATTAAACTTCAGCGTACATACTTTTGCTTCAGGGAGTACTGATGAAATCATCAGGGGGAAAAAAGAGAGGCTGGTACATCAAACATTTATGGAGTCCTGTAGCTTAGTGGTCAGATTGCTCGCCTCGCAAGTGAGAGGACCTGGGTTTGATTCCCGGCAGGGCAAACTGTTGGCTAAGTTTCCTTACTCGATAAGCCTCTGTTTACCTAGCAGAAGTAGGAACGGGGTTGTTAGTCGATTGGCCGGGGTAATAGTTCTTTCAAAAAAAATAATAATTTGGTCTCTTGATCCGCAACTGTTTGTGGGACACCGCTGTACGCAAATGGCTGCCACGTTTAGTCCGCAAGACATACAGTCAATTCACTTTACAGTATATTCTGTGAAGCACTTTGAGACATCTAGAAGACTTGATGAGGTGCTACATCAAATGCAAAGATTATTATTATCATACATCATTACTTGTTTCATGAACAGAGTTTGTGTGATTTCTATCTGTGCATTTGCGCGGTTCCAATGGATGAAGTGAGAGGGAAATGATTTGTTTCATTTGTAGTTTGTAACCATGCGATGTTCTTATGTATTTGATATTCCAGCTGCAAAACAAAGAGAGCTCCCAGGAACTTCTGAGAGAAGAGGGCCAGCGTATTCAGCTGATATTGTACAGATATAATGACACAAACCCTTTGATTTTCAGTCACTTTAGAACAACTGATTCCGTTGGTAAGATGAATCATATTGCAGATGCATCATTCATAAGTTGTATATGGATATGAAGGATTGGCCATACACCCAATTGACCGCAGGTGTCTCCAGAGTTCAAATACAGTGTAGTCTGTGAAACGCTTTGAGACATCTTGAAGACTTGATAAGGCGCTACATCAAATGCAAGGATTATTGCTATAATTGCTTGTGCTCTTGAAATCTACAAAGATCTTTCCTCATTGATCAGCAACTCTTGTGCTGCCATCAAAGATGGGCACGTTATCAATTTTGGAAAGTTTCCTCCGAATGTTTAATTCCAGGGCCAATTCCAAGTTAATTCCAAGTTGACTCCTTCTACCTTTCACAGGGTTTTGCCAGGCCACCATTTCAATCCTGACAAAGAGTCTTAACCTGAACGTTACCTTGTTGATGTCTTTTAATATTAGTTGATTGCTGGTAGATTTACAGCCTATTTATTTGTTTGTTTGTTTGTTTGTTTGAGCGGAAACTTTGCTCAGTATATTAAACAAAAACGAAATCCTGCAGGATACACAAACCACGCTTATAAAAAGTACAGTGCCCTTTCACAGCAAATCCTTTGAAGCACTTCAAGAGGTCCTCCTGATGTTAAAGGTGCTGCATCAAACGCAAGGATTATTTAGTATTGTAAAATATAAATATCTTTTGCGTTTCAAACTTTCTAAGATCTTGAACTTGAACCCCGTGTGCTGTTGGCAGCCAGTAATTACTCAAGCGCTCCGGGACTCTACCCCTCGTGAAGGGAGCTACAGAAGCACAAGTTGTTGTTGAAGCTGTTGCCCTATTGGAGGCTCTTGTATCTCTACACCACATTACAGACCAGACAAATGCTCCATATTCTTATTTTTGAAACAGTCTGTTGGTTCAAAAACAACTGTGTAATCATTCCAAATTGCTTAAAAACAGGAAATTTGACCAAATAAACAAAATTATTATGACTGAGTCCTATGATTACCCAAGGTACCATTTAAGAGATTCAATCAGGGCACAGAAATAGATTGAAAGGTTTATGACCGGAGGGAGGAACTGATTCCAGAGGCACATCCACTGCTCTTTATGGACTAACAATTACTGAGCTTTTGAATTTATGTTTTGGGGAAAGGCGAGATATGAGGAAATGGAAGGAGCTTTGCTTGCTTAGCAAGGACAGACGAGCGCTTAAGAAACAACAGAGTGAGTTCTCTCTTAATGGAAATAACTTTGTATTCCGATGTTCTGATGTCATAACAACTTTGAGGAACATCTATGTGGTGCGTAGAATCCAGCTCAGCAGTTCTGCCTCCGCCAGTTATTGCTGTGGGGTCTCTGATGTGGTGTTAACCAAATGATTGACTCGCCAGTGATGCCTTAAAGCAAATAAGTCACCCAGGCCCCAGACTGTATTGAGTTTTTTTTGGTTTGGGTTTTGGTAAACCCACTATTCTTTACTTTCCGTTATAAATCAGAAGCAAACGTGTGATAAATAAATAAAATCAAAGACAATAAATAAAAACAAAAGTAAATAAAAACAAAAATAAGTAAATAAGAAACACAGATAAATAAATAAAACACATAAATAAATAAAAATCATACAAGTAAATAATAATTTGGTCACTAAATTCACAGCTGTTTGTGGAACACTACTGTATGCAATTGGCTGCCGCATTTTTTCCACAAAATATAGTCAATTTGTTTTACAGTATATTCTGTGAAATGCTTTGAGACATCTCGAAGATGTGATAAAGCGCTATATAATAATCCTTGCATTTATATGAAATGCAAGTATTATTACTATAAATAAATTGATTTTTTTAAAAAAACAGGCAATTTATAATATTAAGCTAAACAAATCTGTACCTCAATGTGGAATATTACTTCATTTGGATTACAGAATGTATTGACTTCTTTTACTAGGAGTGGATTTATGCCATATTTGGTGGGATTACTTAGCAAGTTTAACAAGTCTACAAATGATGAGATGCCATGCAACTATTCAATGATTCACTGATTCTTTCCTGGTGCTTTGGTAATCCTTTTTAGTAAAATCTTCATTCTGTTTTCCTTCTTACATTTTGAAGATTGAATGGGAAACCTTTGAACGAGAAAGCTTTTGATGAGTTAAGCTGCAAATTGCAACGTGATGCAATTTTAAGGTCAAACGTATCAAACTTTTTTTTTTAGAATCTTTTACCAGGTGTCCTTGCGCCCCAAATTGTGGGCAGTTGATTTCGTAAATTTTCATCACACCATTCTCCTCTGGATTCGAACCTGATCTCAGAGACGAATAGTATGAACCAAGGTCTATCCCCACTCCCCTCCACCTCCTGTCATCCCACAATAAAATGACCGGTGAGGGAAACAGACCTGATCAACAAAGCAATGGACAATAAATTCGTCAACACAAACAAGCTCAAGAACAAGGTCTGGCACAAGCTTTACATATCTTTTAAGGAAATCCTTTTGATCTTGCCCGTTTATATATAATGAAACTTGGCTATTTGTGTAATGCCATTGCACAGCTTAAATTGCAGACAAGGTCATTGTGAGGAAAGACTGTGATTTTTCAATTGCCCACATCTACACAGACACTCCACTCCACAGCATGTCCAGTGAAGGTCTTTGGGATGTCCTCCTGATGTGAACGTCGCAGTTGCTAAAAATGCAAAGAGTCTTATTATTATTTACTTTGCGAAAATCATCTCGATACGCTGGTAAAATACTGGTTTCCTTTGAGCAGGTTTTGTTGAAATGGAGATAAAGAAAATGCTCGATGTTCAAAACGAGATTTGTCTATGGAAGAGAGATTCGAACGAGGAGACCAGGCTGCTACAGAGGTCAGATGTCACATTGCAGGATGCTGGGATCCATAACGAGCAGGTATTCAAATGGCATCTGCAGTGTTACATTGCAAAAAAAAATTACTTCGATCTCTCAATTTACCAATTTACTAACAACAACAACAAGGTTACATTTGTATAGCGTCTTTCATGTCGGGAGGACATCCCAAGGCGCTGGACAGAGTACAGCATTTCAGGCCCAAGCTGAGGTCAGGGGGGATAAGGGAGGGGAAGGGGGGGTGGCCGATGGCATGGTCGAAGATGAGGGAGTTAGCATAGACAAACCTGGACGTGATGAAGGCACAGACGAGGGTCTCGGCAGCCTGAGGGGAGAGGTAGTGGTGGAGCTGAGCAATGTTGGGAGGCTGGGGGAAGGCAGAACGGGTCAAGGCACGGCTATGGGATTTAAAAGATAGTTGAGGGTAGAACAAGACACCAAGCTTCTGTGCTGGCTCAGTGAGCTGGAGAGTGCATCCACGAATAGTAATGCTGTCAACGCCTGAGGTAAGGAGGCGCTGATGGGAGCCAAGCAGCAGGGCCTCAGTCTTGTCCTTCAACTAGAGAAATTTAGCTCTCGTTCAAGACCTGATGTCTGACAGAGAATCTGTCAGGACAGCAGTGTGAACATCTTTCGTTCGGGGGGTGCACATACATCATGGAATTTGAGTGAGAGCTATTTCATAAATGGAGAAACTGATCCCACCCGAAAACTGCTTAGTCCAGTGTCAACTGACCTACGGTAATGTAAAGTTTGGAGTGATTGATTATTTATAGAGCTGTCATTTATCTCTGGAGATGTGACTGGATCACAGGCTGACATTAAAAATACAAAGTCAGGGGTGATCCAACATAAAGCTGGTCACTGATATAGTCCACCTTGAAACACACTAACTCCTTTTGAACAGTTTCTTCAAACTATCAATCAAAATTTAATCTGAATAATTACACCCGAAGCTCATTGTTCTAAAAATGTGTGATGCAACTGATAGATGTTCTTAAATCAACCCATATGCTTACACCTGTCCCTGTTCATCTTGATATCACCCTGTTGACTGGGATTTCTCTAAGATGAGGAGAAATTGCTGTTTGATCCTAAAAGTGGATGTCTACCAGGATCCCGTAAACTCACTGGAAAACAAAAAGCAAACCTCCGTTTAATTCACAAGGACATCATGAAATAGCAGCAAAGGCGATTAGCTTTTGATCAGATTTATTTGGACCTGGAAGCATTGAGTGTTACTTGATTAGTAGGAAAATAACTGTCGTCACTTGTCCTATTTCCCCAGAAGACTCCAATAATAGATCCAGTTCCTCTTATTGCCAGGCGTGACAGATTGGATGTGCAGTATATATTTTCAAGTCGCTAATTGAAAAAGAAAGCTTTCAGTTCAGCTTTTAAAGCACATTTTCGATTTATTGGAAAGACTGCAATTCCACCAGGGACTGCTTTAAATCCCTGAAAGCTGCAGTTGCTTAATAAAATACAGTTGCAGTTGCATAAGTATACAATGAAGTATAGTATGAGTATGTGTGCTAACTCAAACAGCATGTAATTAAAATGGAGCATTGTTCATATTGTGGAGTCCTGTAGCTCAGTGGTTGGAGCACTCGCCTCGCAAGTGAGAGACCTGGATTCGATTCCCGGGGGGCGAAACCTTGGGCAAGTTTCCTTACTCCACAAACCTGATAATAATCCCTCAAGAAAAAAAACAATAATAATTTGATCACTCAATCCATGACTGTTTGCAAGGATTATTTTTATTATCTCAGTATTGTTCGAATTTGGCCGTCATTCTGGCTCCGTAATAGTACTGCGACTAATAATCCTTGCATTTGATATAGCGCCTTATCACGTCTTCAAGACCTCTCAAAGCGCTTTACAGAATATACTGCAAAATGAACTGACTGTATATTTTGTGGGCGAAACACGGCAGCCAATTGCACACAGCAGTGTGCCACAATCAGTCGTGGAGCTAATTGGGGGGATTGTTGGCCAGGACACCGGAGAAACTCTTGTGACTTTAAGCCCCATGTCAGGGATTTGAGCTCACAGTCTAGACTGACCATTTTAGTGCAATACCAGGATAGTGTTGCATTGTTGGAAGTGCCTTCCCTTCATAAGAAACATTAAACCTCTGTCTGCCTGTTCAGGTGTATACTAAAAATCCTATGGTACTGTTTGAAAAGAGAAGGGAGTTTCTTCCAGTATTTTTTACCAACAATCCTCCAGGTAAATTCATCAGTCAATTTGTGGCTGTTTGAATGACCTTGTTTAGTGCAAAATGGCAAAATTCATTTTGCCCCCAAATACACTTGACAGCAATTTTGCGTGAAGTGCTTTGAGGTGTTTTGACATTTCGTATCTACAGGAAATGCAAGGATAATTAATCGCGTCTTCCAACAATTAGCAACGAAATTGCACGGAACATGCACAGAGAGTCTACAGATTAACAACATGCAGTGACAAACAATATCTAAAAAATAACTTCTGCGTCAATATTTGCTGTACTTAGACAGACGTCAGCTACACTGCTGGCATCGCTAACATCAATCAACTCTTGCAGCTTCAAACCCTTGGAACATATTGGGTTCATAGCTATGTATTAATTATTAATGAATAACAAGACCCAATCTGCAAGTAACAACCATGTCTCAACCAAGCAGAACAGATTTATAGTAAAACGATTGACAGCCCGTGAAACAAATCTCTGTACCAGATTGCAGCTTTAATTACTTTTTAATTAAAAAGTGCATTGTTTTAAGCTGTCCAAAGATTTATAGATAAGTATTCAAAACTGTCCACAAGTTTATATTCATTTCATGTTGTCAGCAAGTTATTGCGGGTGATAGGCGAGGTACAAAATGTGATAATCATCACTACATCAACAACAACAACAAAATTACATTTATAGAGCGCCTTTCATGTCGGGAGGACGTCCCAAGGGCAGACGTGACACGTGTAAAGTTGAGCTAAGCCGATTTTTCACAGACAGGTAATATAACAAGTGGCTTTGATGCAATCAACGACAACAACAAATTACATTTGTTCTGCATCTTTCATGTCGGGAGGATGGCCCAAGGCACTGGACAGTCAGGTTTTGGATTTGGACCCGAACTGGAGGTTGGCATTAGGAAGGATGAGGGCAGGAAAGGGGGAAATCACTTGATGTTTGAATGAAGTCGGCGAGGGGTTGGGATGGGGGTGGGAGAGAAATGTGGCTGCCTGGAATATGGACGTGAGTGGAATGTCTCATGATATGATAACTGTCACCTCACGTAACCTTGGTGGTAAGTCTAACACGCTTTAACGATGTGTTCGGGTACCAATAGCACATTATGTCAGTGGAGCACCGCACTGTCCAGACGTACTGGACACTCATTCCGCTTTGCTCAATAACTATGAAATGTTGATTTCCTTTTGTTTAGATTCTGATCCTCGAGGAGAAGGATTTACACGGTGGCAGGCCTTAGACCTAGAATGGGAACTCTTTAAAAAAAGACCCGAAGAGGAAACACTAAATTTATCACCATGTTAATACCACCGATGGACTAAATAACTACTGTATAATTAAAAATAATTACCTCTACCTTTCAGCCCCTCGTCAAATAGTATGTAATCTACTGTTAAGTATTATATTATATAATATAGCTTCTGTTATAATCCTGTGAAACGTTTTGAGATGGCATCTCAATGTGAAAGGTGTTGCATTAAATGTAAGGGTTATTTTTTATTTTATTACTGTTACCTTCCCTTCTCAAGTCTGTTTTCTCAGTATCTGAAAAACTGTTTCAGAATCAACTGCTTATTTCACAAGAATCAAACCTTAAAACCTGTGCAACACAGTCATCTCAACATTCACACAACAAAACAAGCTCGTTCTTTTAATGGTGTGCGATCTTTTGATGTCACGAAAAAGGCATTACTGTAGAGAATGTCTAGTCCAACAGTCTCACGAAATAAATCGAGCAAGAAATGTGATAGAAACTGCAAGGAAACAGCACTGACATGACATGCGCAGGTGTTACACATATTTGGTTGCGGTGCACAGAAAGGTTTCCTTTCAAAGTAGCACACATAACCAAACCATTTGTGATTTTGTTGTGCATAAATTTTGAAGCCAAGAAGATCTCTTGTGAGACATATTTGCTGCATGTCTTGGTCGACTGTCCACCCGATTTATGAAGTGGATCATTTTTATGGCTCTGTTCAACTATGTTCAATCCCATTTCGAATCCAATTTCCCAATGATTTATTTTCCACTCTTCTCCCAACAACTGTCGTGTTAGCTTCTGCCACAATGGAGATTGGGGACCCTTTGGTTTCCCCAAGGCCCATAATTACACAGCTTCATGAAAAGAAACAGCCTCAAAATTGAGAAAAAACATGAGAGACTTTTCCACAATTCTTGCGATCTTAAATTGTAATGCACTGCAGGCTAAAACTAGGTGGAATTTCAGGTCTCTGGCAGAGTTTTACTGTGAAGTGTAAAATGATTTGCTTTCCAGCATCCTCAGCAAAGACAAACAAAACATCTGAGCAGTAGGTCAAACATGCTCTCTGATAGCAGTCCTTTGACACTGGTCTGTAATATTGCATTTTGACTGAGGCGCCAGTGAATTGGCAGTTGGACCTTTAATCTCTTAATTTCAAAGAGATTTTGAAATTCATTCTTTTAGTGGACAAACGGCAGAAAATGTTCCACTTAACACTTCAAAGTGACCACTTGTTACTTGTTACAAAGCTGCTGCCTTGCAAAATTCGAAATTCTTAACAGCGCTTAAGCCGGATGGCTTTTTTTTCTTCACTTGAGGGTCGTTCAATAACACATAGCGTAACTGTTGAAACTCTACTGAATAGTCAGCCCTGAAATCCTGTCCTGAAAGTTGCCCGTGCTTCAGTCTTCAGTTTATTTGCGCAAATCAAAACTCACTTAGTTTAAGTCTGTTTCTCATTCTGCATTGATAAGTGCGCTCAGGTGCTGTGATATAGATTTTGTTCCCAACAAGTCTGAGGATTATCCTCTGGAAAGTATTTTCCAACAAAAGTTACTACATATAATACTAGAACAACAAAAACAAATAAATGCAATTTATATTGTTATAAATGCAATTTGTTGTTGTGGTGGTGGTGTCTTGGAACATACAGAGGTATTCAAACAGTCACCCTTACCATGTGTCACTCATGGCTTCAAAGGACAAACAAATCACTAATGATAATAATAATAAAATAATAATTATAAAATCACTAGTGATGGGTTTAAAGAGATAGTGTAAAGGGATGTTTTCACTGTAGTTTAACAGTAATTAGGTGTCAATTACAACTTTTTATTCAGTCATTTAACACTGCAGCTAATGTGGTCAATTCCCTGGATGAACCACTTGGTGAATGGTTGAGCGCAGGAGTTATGAAGAGCACCAGTGACCTTTAGAGGCAGCAAATAACACTGCAAGTGGGAAAAGCCTTGGTTCCACGTCACACTTTAGAAAACAACTGAAAATAGAATCAGACTCTCAACGTCAACTGAAATACCTTGCAGATTTGTAATGAGATAGTCCCATTGCAATTAAACCCACGGCCTTTTCAACAGAATTTTTATTAATGAAAAGAGTTTTCCATTGCGTTCAAAACTCTTCAAAGTTTGTCGTTTGAATATCAAGGAGCAAAGGTGAATGAATGAACGAATCAATCAACCAATCAAACTAGATCAATGTGTCACCTATTGAAAGAGACTGCTTTAATACAAATATTGCCCATAAAATCAACATGATTTTATTTGAAAATGTATTAGGGTTCGTTTTCTGAGAAAGATCTTCAGCTGCAGTTAGGGATTTTGTTGGTGAAAGTTGGCAAAGTTGTAGATTCCTTGGTTAACAGTTAACATCTTACGATATTGGAAAAGGCTCGATTGCACCTGGACCACAGGTGGCTATGAGTTAATTGCAAAGAAGGTCATTTATAACTGTCCTCATTTTCCCAAGAGTATGAAATGTGTCTGTGGAAGGGACATCTTTATATCCACATAAAAATCATTATTGGCCCTCTTTATTTAATAACCGTACTCGTTTGGACGGAAAAGAGAGTAAGCAATGACTTAAAAACGTTTGCGAAACAGTTGAATGTACCTCACCAAAAAGAATGGGTGATTAACATGCGTTTATGTAGGTTACATATGCAGATTGAATTACGTCAATGCAGTTAGAGTAACTTAGTGTGAGCGGTGTGTTTAAGAATGGCAGAAATTCTTAGGGTTTACAATCCCCAAATGAATAAGAGGTTGACATTGTGGCTCATGTGAACTTGAGGATTATTTTTCTGAAATAACACTGGTTCACATTTCTGGCACTCGTTGATATATGCCACTGGGGGAATCCTGATTATATTATGCATGGCTTTGGTTTGCTTTGGCGGGTAATATCATTACACACCTAACTTAATCTTAAGTCTTAAAAATAAAACAGAAAGGCTACAACACCTGTTTGAACTGTTTGATTCAGTGTAAGTGTCGCAGTGGAATTCTTTTTGAAGAAATGACACTTTTTTTTATCTATTCCCTTTAAGTACAGTATTAACTTTGTTAAATTCTGTCTCAATGCTTTGGTTAAAAATGATTGTGTTTTTTTGTTCAATATGGTTGATAATCTCAAATTTCAGGAATAAATCCCGATGTTGCTCAAAGTTTCCTTGCGTCTGTTTTAATTTGTTCTGAGAGAAGGTACTCAACATTTGTTTTCAGAGTACAAACACATGAGTCTTCTCCAGTGCTTAATAATAATAATCCTTGCATTTGATATAGCACCTCATCATGTTGTTGAGATGTCTCAAAGCGTTTCAAAGAATATACTGTAAAGTAAATTGACTGTATATTTTGTGGACGAATTGCAGCAGATAATTGTGCCCAGCAGTGTCCTACAAACAGTCATGGAATGAGTGAAACAATTATATATATATTTTTTTGTGAGGGATTATTACCCCTAGAAAACAAACCGCCAATTGATTAATAACCAGGTTCCTACTTATTGCTTGATAAACAGGCGTGTGGAGTGAGGAAACTTGCTTAAGGCTTTGCTCTGCCCAGGAATCGAATCCGGATCTTATTCGTTGTGATGCAGTGTCTGTAATTCTTACTGATTCCACACTCCACTATGATTTGAGATGAGAAGTAACTAACACTGTCCTGCATTGGTGTCCCTCGTCTTGACGTGAAGGAAAAAAAACAATTCCATCCTCCAAAAAATCTGGTATGACAAAAATCTTGAGATGGGGAAGGGTATGACTTGCTCATTGACTAAAAACAGCGTTTGAATCAAGTCATTTCCTTTTCCGATCAGAAGGTGGCAGAGCAGAACGCACACACCAATACAACAGCTAACGTAAGATAGTTTTCATAATTTGACTGGCACTCTTAATCCGACTTGTTACACAAGTCATACTTTCAAGGACACATTTGTTAAGTAATGTCAGTTGTCCTGAGGATGATATACTCAGAACATATAATCTTTATATTTCATATGGCGCCTTTCACGTCCGGGGTTTTTTTTCCCGCACATTATCACTCATGTGATTCGTCTTGGGATGTCCTCCCGACGTGAAAGGCGCTATACCAATGTCATTTTGTACTTTTGTATTGTATTGTGTGGGTTTCCAGGGGAGAGACAGCTAAGAAGTGGAGGCCAATACACCTGTTGGAAATTGGAGCGAACAGATATCGCTCACTGGGCAATTAGACGTAGATTTAAACTTTCTCAGTGGATGCTTAACTTCCCTTCACAGAGGTTTTCACGCTCTCCTTTTTTTAGAAAATGACACTTTGCGTCTTCTTAGAAGTGAATGTAGAAGTTAAGCAATAGGAGGAGATTGGGTTAAGGAGGAAATGGTTACTCTCTGAACAAAACACTGTTCTCTCCTTTCACTGCATACACCATAAATCCTGCTTTCCCTGTAGTATTTTGATAGCTTTCGGTGGAGCGTATTTGTTTTCTTTATTTACTTTGTTAAAGCCGTAACAAACAACATTTTAAATATTCCGAGCAGAGGCGAGCGCACCTTTCTGGGCAAGAGTCACATCAGCTACTACCTCTGCAGCTAGTTATTTCCGTCTCCAGAAGGAAAATTGACGGCCGCCCACAAAATACACAGTCCATTCACTCTACAGTATATTCTGCGAGGCGCTTTGAGACGTCTCGAAGACGTGGTAAGGAGCTATATCAAGTTCAAGGATTATTATTATTATTAATTATTAGTATCATTAAATTAAACCTGGTTCATTTGCAAAGGTTTTCTGGTTTATTCCTCGTTGTTAATGGGTTAATGCACTGGTGATGGTAAGTGAAGATGGCAGTGGAATGTTTTCAGTTCAATGGTAACTGGATGAGGTTAGTGTAAAATTACCTCTAAAGGTGTGCCAACATGCATCAGGTGTCAGAAACAGGATTTTTTTTTTACTTTTGCCATTTTAGTAATGTAAGAATAATCGTTGCATTTGATATACTGCTTTATCACGTCTGCAAACTCTCTGGGACACCACCATACATGAAGGGCGGTATATAAATACAAGTTGTTGCTGTGATGTCTCAAAGCACTTCACGGAATATACTGTAAGATGGCTGGGAACACTCAGCAGATCAGGCAGCATCTATGGAGAAAGGAAAGTGAGTCAACCTT